GACGCGACGTGACGCGACGTGACGCGACGTGACGCGACGTGAAGCGACGTGAAGCGACGTGAAGCGACGCGACGCGACGCGACGCGACGCGACGTGACGTGAAGGGAAGGGAAGGGACGTGACGTGACGTGACGTGACGTGACGTGAAGTGAAGTGAAGTGAAGCGAGGGGAAGTGAAGTGAAGTGAAGCGAGGGGAAGCGCCACTGCAGTGTAGTCTTAATTGAACATTCATTCAAACTTTCATCATGCGGAGTTAGATTATAGAAGTTTTTTTCTTTTTAAGGTATTAATGTTTTATCAATCAGTCAGTTTTGATATTATTATTATTATTATTATTATTATTATTATTATTATTATTACACCATTATTCTTAGTCTTAACAGTTGTTACTACTATTAGTATGATTATTGTATTATTACATAATTTGCGCGTTAGCTATATTATCTTATTTATGCAATTACCTGCCACCGGGTTATACTAATTGCAGTTTAAATAAAGTTATGTATTTATATATTCAGCAGGAATAACATGTAAACGATATCGTTACCACAAAAAGTAGTGTATGAATAGTTACGAACCTTTTACAGGGTCTTATTGAAGATTGTCGCAGTGTCCTCGCAAAGTTTGGTAAAAATTAATACAACGCAAGGGCGGAAAATAAATAATTTAAATGATATCTTTGTAAATGTACCACAATCATTATTTTCTCCTCATGCGAAGGGCATGTGCTACCTAATATATTTCCCCAGAGGCCAGTAGCGGCACGACAAGACTGGAATCTAATAGTTTGGCTACTAAAATATTCCTCCAGAAGTCACTAGCGGTGCAGAGCCTCTGGCGGAATATATTTCGTACCAGTTACCTTATAGGTTCGCTACAAGCCAGTAGCAGAGTACGTTATAACTGTTTAATTGAATAGAATTGTTTAACCAGTGATTAAACAAAGAATTAAATGTAATAAAACAAAGAAAAAATATAGTTTGATGACGGGGCGAAATTTACGACTGAGTTATAAGTTGAAGTTGAAGATGAAGTTGAAGTTTTAGACAGTTGCTTGATTACCTCAGGTTCATTACAATAATAATGTGTTACAATCGTTGGCTTTGCACTTTTTATGTATTTTTATTTTTTCTCAAGCATATTTAGTAACTTCTTCAAATCATGTAAATAAATTTCTCACCTGCATCACATTCAATTTCTCCGTGACGTCAATTAACGTGAAAAATTGTTACCGAGAGTTAACGAAATACTCATGCTCTCGAAACGGGCCTGTTCCTACGCGATAGTTCTTGCAACATGCTGCGGAGAGTTAAGGAACTGACGCCACCAACGAGCTTTGTAGCCCGGAAGGTTGAGATTTCGAATACCGCCGGGGAGCGGACATCTCACTTCAGCTAATTAGTTCAGACACAACCTCTCTCGACTTTGTGGAGAAATATTCTTCAAATGAGATGTAATATAGCCCGAAGTATGGAAATTCGTAGTCTCTGAGCCGTTGCTGTCGAAATCACCGTTCATTTCAGCTTTTTTCTGATTTGCGATTGACGCGTACAGAGAACACTGTGTTCACGGTTAAATATCTCACTTCATGGAAAACATTTGTGAAAAATGGTTATAATCATAGTGATATCACGTAGGTATTGATATAGCCAGTATTGAATTTATTTTCTTCAAGCTTTATTGACTGAGCGGTGGCTCAAGGACTTACGAAAACCGCGGAGGCAGAAGGCAATATTTTGAACACACGAAATGAAGCGCCAAATGAACCCTGAATGAGGTGATTAGAAAACAATTTTGTTGACGGGTTCACGCATCGTGGTTATTCGATTAATTGATTAGTTATTCCGAGCGCGTCAAATGTAAAGGTCGTTCGGTAGGCCCGTAAGTGTAGTGCTTTTATCGCGGGCGGAGGCTGTGATTTCACTAACCAGGCATTTCCCACCAGCGGAGCACCGTCCTAGCCTGGACAAGCTCTAAGCTCTCGTCCGGTCTCCCTGCATTTGTGGTAATGCAAGAGTATGAAAGGGATGAGGTTAGGACAAAGAAAGGCAAGGAAAGATCGCGTGCGGTCTGTGGCCCGTTTGTTAGGGTACTGCTCCGGCATTCGCCTAGGGATGATCGGACTAACAGCGAAAATTATCGATCAGAGCAACCAGCCGCTAGAGTTTGTCCTCTAGACTGTGGATGAATTCTACCTAGCTACGTAGTTAGTGTCATTCAATCTCGCAGGAAGTCGATTCTTCTCCTGTAGAATGTCTTCTCCTTTAAAAATACGTTTTTCATGACGTCGGGCATGAAAACTAGTTCTAGCTTCTCTCGATAGGAAAGTGATCGTTTGCGATGCGAGGACGGCAAGGTATACTCCGACGTACGCATATAACTATCGCGCTCTGCGTTAAAAAACGCCTCCAGATAGATAGTGTCGAAATTCCTGCCACCTTCGTGGCTCCAACCCTCGCACCACCCTGCCACGGGCACTGCAGTGGCATCAATTGTTCCCTCGAGCTACCAACGCCGGTACAAGTCGCACGAAAGTGTCTTTGGCGAACTCTTTTCCAAATTCTGAACTCTCGACCTTTTGTCGCCTCGAGAGCCATTTCATTCGCTTGCCCAGGACTCACTTCCGCTACTGGATATATGAATAACACTATCACAGCCGATTTCAGCGGCGAGGCCGACAGAACTGGGAGGCGTCATTTGCGGTCGCGCGTGCACTTTTGGAGAGGCCCTGACCTTACCGCAGCCATGATCGCGCAGGCGCCACGACTGTGGGAGAGGCGCAGTTCTCATCTGCGGGCCAGTGCATTCAGAAATGAGGTTATTGAGAACTGTAATGTTATTACTATCTGAGCCTTTGCGATCACCTCTTACAAAAGAAAGAGTACAAAATTTACAAAAGAGAAGCATTACATATACGGACTATACGGACAATTAAACTCGCCAAAAATATTGTTTCATGCAATTCAGTCCTTGTTCTCCAAGACTACATGAAATTTTACAAATTCTGGGACAATACAATCACAAAATTAAAGAGGTTTCTGAAAATGTTATGTAAATTATTACATAATTTACCAAGATATGTACATGTATGTTGTACTCGACGATAGCGGGAAATCCTGCTAGTTACCGTAATGCATCTCGTAGGTATCCACGTAATGCGTCACATAATTATTATCACTGAACATTTTTGATAAAGGAACGCATGAATCAGACGATTGCTGGATATTACATTTAGTCCTTAACAGGCGCTAATCTTTGTACTTGAAAACACTTAATCTACGACATTAAAACCATTCGCTGTCCTTGCTTCTCTGATTATGCTTGCTCGCGCTACGAAACGTCTACCGTTCTTGATGTAGTTCCATCACAACTCTCACAAAGGAACGTAAGAACAATTTCATGTAGTAGGTCTTCGAAATGTAATAAACAAATGACGGCAGATAATCGTTCGTTGTATTAATTTTAAGATATTAAAATTTAGTGTTTATATTTTAAAACAGGTTAATAATATCAAGCGAGAACACAGGTCTTTATACCTTTCTGCACTTCAGAACTTTTTAATCAACACATTTTATTTACATGAAATAATCCTTAATTAAACTTTAGTCGATTCATAGTTTAATTGACTTTGCGATAAACGTGACAGCGGGGACGGCATGCGTTCTTAGGATTTGGTGATCATGGTCCGTTCGTTTAAGCAAGGTTACGTCAGTTCCACGTCTTAATTTGTCATTAATACTACTCATTAATATTATCATCTGCGTTTCGAAATGATTTGTATGAACTCTTACAATAATATATTTAGTGACGACATCGGGACAAAGTTATTCATTCGTGAAATCAGTCCTTAACATCTAATTGTACGATTTGTATGAACAGAAACTTAAGACATAATTAGCTGGCGCTCCAGCTTACGTGGATATACATTTCGCCGCTCAATAACATTTAGATGGCTGAATGTTTTTAATTAGCGTATAAAATAGTTTCGTACGAGTATCCACCAACCTTCAACAGCGCTTCCACCGGTGTTGCTCGTACTCCAGCATCGAGTTGCTTCCCGCTGACGCACTTCCACATCACTACCATAGTTTTTGGAATCCACGGCGCTCCAGTCTCAGAGCAAACAACTGTAAATTTGCGACTTCTTTGATCGAGAGACACCGAGACAGATGTATGGTATGTCTATCACATTCAATCGTTCTCGTATGTAGAGAATCGCGCCTGTATTCGACTGCAGCCTTCACCAGAAACATCTTTTCTTGTTCGATGCCCAGTCTGTAAAAAGCTTTAGCTCAAGAGAAGTGTTAACCTGGCCGTACTACTGCTGAGCCAAATGAAAAATTAAGGTTCGGAAAGATGATATTTCCCCTGCCAAAAATGTCGGAAAACTTTTCGTTTTACCACGATTTAAATATGGTGAATTATGACTTTTGATAATCTGGAAGATGTTATTCAATCTAGAGCTTCGTTACGACTTAATGTTTTGCATTGGATATCTCGATTGCATAACCGCGTCCCAGCTCATCGAACGTCAGAAATCACTATATTTAAATAGGAGAATAGTTAGCTCTTGTTAGAGCGGCTCATTTAAACTTGGGATAGGGAGACGGCGTGTCGCTGATTATCTCCATGACAAAAAATTACAATTCTCAAACAAAACTATTATTATTATTATTATTATTATTATTATTATTATTATTACTCTAATTTACGACTAAATATGTTATGAATCGATTGGATATAAAATACACTCCGTGTTGCAACGAGCTTTCTAATGAGAAGATCTAAGGACTATCGGTGCCTCTTAAATATTTTGAGCAATATGTGGGCTGTTCCCAATAAAGCAATATCTTGCACTTCCCAGACTTTTCAATGACCTGGGAGGTTAGCCACGTTCTGATACAAATTCCTGTGTCTAGGGGCTCTACCTACAGCATAATCAACAGAATTAGCACATGAAGAGCAAGCGTGTACAAACAGTCCATGTTAGCATATGCAATTTCGCTATTGAGAACAAATTTTTGAGAAGCATAAAAATCCCACGCAAATAATTTTTATCAATTTTATGTAGTTACATCATATTATTTACTGTATTTTGGCATTCAGAATAAGTTTTTAATGTTGCATATACATGCACTAAATTTTAATATTTTTTAAAATATAATGGTTATGTGGTCTTTTTATGGAATGAATTGTATACTTTCTATTTTAATCAATTTTTTATATGAAAAGACTTAAAAGACTTATTGGGAAAGGTATTTATTTTTCAGACAATTTGTTTAAGGGTTGACTGAAACAAATTTGAATATGTTTTAATATTTTATTTTAAACTATTGAGTACTTTTTTCAACTCAAGTTGCATTCTCAAAAATTTCTCAAATGTTTTTATACCGGAGTTTCTAATCATTCTCTTCATTTCAAATCATTCTCGTTTATAAATCAAATTAGGCAAAACTGATCATTTTTCAAGTATAATATTACCGACAAAAAAATTAATAATAAATTAAATTTCACTCTTATTCTTTTCCCATCCAAAAATGTCAACTATTTTTACTTATGGTCTTTCAATTTCTTTGGTAATAATGGAAGCGTTGAGGAATTTGTTATTTGTTGAATTTGTTATTTGCAGAATTCTAGGTGACGTACATATTTAATTCTCAAAGACGCTACTTTCAAGATTAATTTTAGAATAAAGAGTCGGGGGAAATGTAGTGAAAAATAAAAGCAATGTGCATAAAAACTACTAAATCTTTCACTTGTGTACCATGGTTCAAATGAAGCGCGAATTACAAAAAGAATGAAATTTTGTCCTTAAATATAGAAAATTCTAGGAAGTGGCTGTTTAATAGGCCAGGCTGATGGGGCTGGCTGGTTACGGTGGATGGGTGTGTAATCGACTAAATATACAGCAGATATACATACATTATTAAATATTCGTTGATAAAATAATTTCCTTGAATAACCTCTTCCCTAAAAGAGGCAGAATCATTTCCCGTATTTAAAAACTCCGAGAAAATCAGGTTTCGAATATATTTAAGAAAATAAAATATTCTGGATCGAAAATATATAAGGTATATAGAATATAATATATGGAACGAAGTAGTATTGGAAATAGTTTCCGTTCAAACAACCATAATACCATATAACCAGAAGAAAGCTCTTCAATGTATGGGCATGTCCAGAGAATGCACAATGAGAGATGACCAAAACAAATTATAAATTGGATATCGGGAAGGAGGTGTCAAAGAATCAGACCTGTTTCGACTTGGAAGGCCTATATAGAGGAAGTGATGGAGGAGAAAGGATTAGAAGATCAATGGGAGGACCGAAAAATATGGAAATCGAAAACAGGAAATTTAGGGACAGAAACAGTCGAAGAAGAGAAAATGTTTTAATACGTACGACTAGAATAAGGCGCGGTATGTTGGGACTCATTCAGAATTTTGCAGCAAAGTAATCTAAAAAGTAGTTCAGCATAGAGCATCAAAATTTACTTTCAGGGGTACCAAGAACAAAGGGGTATGGGAGTCACTCGAAAGGAGGAGATTAAAGTCACGTCTCTATGTAATGTATAAAGCGTACACAGGCCTTCGAGCGTAGAAAGAAATTCAAAGTCGATTAGGGAAACCTACATATTTCGGCAGAGCGGATCACATGCACAAAATTCAGACAAGAATTCAGAAAACGGACGTTAGGAAATATTCATTCGCGAATCGAACTATTAGAGACTGGAACGGTTTGCCTGTGACAATCTTCGATCCCTTTCCTCAAAGCCTGAGCAAATTTGAAAATAAATTAGTTTCCTAAATGTTCATATGTGTGTTATAAATATATTTAATATTATTCAGTGTAAGTACCTATGTATTCTATTTAATTAAGTATTATTATTATTATTATTATTATTATTAATTATGTGAAGTGCAGTGACGTTGCGAAACTGAGTGAAACGAGTGTGTAAGAAAGACATTACAGCTCGGTGTTCCGCAGTGTGGTGAAGTGAAGTGTGGTGAAGTGGAGTGCTATGAAAGATTGCACGGTGAAAGGGTTCACGTTAATTTGTAAAGTTTGTAGATTTTGTAAAGTTGTTAAGTTCTGTCCACGTTCTCAAAACTTAATTGCAGATTTGATTAATAGAAATCTAAATCCTAAAGTGGGGCCACTCTGGTTTCGAAATTTATCAGCACCCCCCGCTACTCCCCCTGCTGCCGCAAGTGAGTGAGCATTACGAGTCACATGAGGGGGTCGAGTCTTGGGACGAAGCCTCGCGAACTGCAAGCAAACAAATTGTCCGGGCGGACGGGTCATGTAATTCGAAACAGATTTACAGGGGGCGTAGACACTGCGCAGGCAACGGCCCGAACACAAGCAAGCGACTCGTCTGCCGTCGAGGCTGCTCCATCGGGAAGAAGAAGAGCTCGGTGGCGGTTCAGTGACAGGCGATAAGGACAGCAAACACGCGTGTCATTGAGGACCATATTCACGCATTTAAACTCAGAGGATTTTCGAAGGGCGGAAAATCCTCAGTGTGCATCACTTGTCACAAGTAAATACAAGGCGCTTATGTAACTAATGAGGACTCAAGCAGGAACCCGGCAATTTAGAAAATAAATTATTTATTTTATGTTACATCAACTGCAAAAGGTTATTAACAACATCTATACAATAAGATACTTTTTACACAAGAAGTGTTAGGCCATTTTGAGAAGGAACATTCATCTCACAATAATAACCAGCTTATGCATGGTTCTTTTATTGTACACGTTTATGCCTTTCAAAAAATTGAGGAACCGTCTACATTGTTCTTTGTTCTTTAGTACTTTTGACTTATCGATATTGGCACCATGTCTTGGAGCAGAAATAAATGATTAATGTACATAGAAACATTAAACACATTACACATAACAGCCGTTTTCCCGGTGATCAGATGGGCATGTGTGAGATGGTGTGATCTATTCTGCAGATACTGAACATAACCTGGTCAGATCTGTAGAAGGATGTGGCTGAATTACAATCTTCGTATTCACATATACTTGATAAATAAATAAAGATGTTGTCTGGTATCAATACTTTTTATTCTGCTTATGATCGTTTTGATCGCATAGCGATCATCCTCAGAGCTTGCAGCTTCTGGGCCGAAAACAAAGTTCTGCCTTTGCAGAATAAAAAGTATTGATACCAAACAACATTTTTATTTATTTATCATAATAAAAAAGTATCTACCTCACCATCATTAATCACATATACTTCTTAATTTGCAGCGAGCGTTGTTGTACCATTCCTGTCTGTCCAATAGTTTTCTCCTTGCTGCAGCTGCATAGTCTTGCCCGTATTACCACCAGAAGGTTGCATTCTTGCAGGCAAGTTTTGTCATCTCTTTTGCAGATCCATCGCTCCAGCTCATTCTCGATTATTACCCACATGAGCTGGGATCCCACCAAAAAAACTATTCTCTTTTACAATTTAATGTCGAGTTCATTTCTAAAGTAAAAGGCATATCCAATAGCCGATAGAGCCAATTTGAAGTCTGTTGCTATGAGAAATTAGCGTCCCAGCAAAATTGAATCCCTCGTAACGAGATATCACGTTCGAACTCCGGAACTGTTGAGACAACATTATACACAATTTAGATATATGAATTGAGTCACTCCTACGCTCTGAGCCAATTTATATTTTTTAATACGATACTGTAACACCTATTACTTAACACAAGTAAAAATAACGTAATGACGGACATAATGTCTAGCATCAGAACCTTTTTATGCATTATAATGACTTCCTGCAAATGACAAGCCCGCAGCTTACCTAACGCGGAACTAGAATATTTTTCCAGAACTGGAACTGATTATAATCTGCATAAGAAAGTCATTTACTTTTAATGAGGTAAAATAACTACCCAAGGTGTATATACTGCGATAAAATGAAAGAAAACGTACAACCCTACAACAATAAATTACTATGCATTTTTATTTAGTCCCCATTCTAGTCCATGGCATGCCACAGGAGGATGAATTTTATTTATTTATTTTTAAATTTGAGGATTTTACAATCTGTATTTCATTAGACACTTGGGTCTTTTTGCACGTATT